CAGAAACATCGTCCACCAATTCACGGTTGATAACTCTTCCTTTGAAGTGGTAGACAAATTCACAAACTTAGGCTCCCTCATCACCAAGGAGAACGTCATGATGGGAAAAATTAAGCGAAGAATATTCCTAGCAAACAAATGCTATTTTGGATTGAATAGACATATGAGATGCAGAAACTTAAGCCAAAAAACAAAAATAACCATATACAAAACCCTTATACAACCAGTGCTGACATATGGATCGGAGACATGGACCATTTCCAAGGCAGATGAAAACATCCTGCTTATATTTAAATGAAAGATCATTAGAAGAATATTCGATGGCATCTGTGAAAGTGGTGTTTGGAGAAGGAGGTACAACTACGAGATATATCACAGATATAAACATATATTTAGCGGTGAAGGCTAAATTCGATGCTAAGCGATCTCTTAAACAACGCACCTATGTCACAACCTGTGAAAAGTAGAAGTAGGGGTAGGCCAAAACTCAGATGGAGGGATGGTGTAGATAAGGATAGTAGGAAAATAGGTGCAGCAAACTGGCAACAGTTGGCAACGGATAGAACTGACTGGCGTAATAGACTTGTGAAGGTCGAGGCTCTTTTATAGGGCTGTAGCACCAACGATGATGTTGATTGCATATATTATATAGAAGATATGAGATGCTTAGAAGCAAAACGCGGTAAATCCACTTTTTGTCGAAAATGAGATATTGAGTTTAACTAGTTCCCCAGAGTCCATTATATAGGTACAACACTTTATTTACCGTCAAAACGAATTAATTCCAATACATTTCAATCGACTAAAAGTTACTTTGGAAGCAAAACACGTAAAGTCCCCTCCGCTTAAAGACCAAAACAGGTAAAGTCCACCGCAACGATTCCAACGAACCACAAGCATGCTGTAGATCCACGTGAGGTGGCGCTACATTTACAGAAGTAGATATCAGTCAGCAGGCAGTATTTTATTTTAGTATAGAGAGTACACTTGATTTCTTTGTAAATTTTATCTGACCACGTGCTGAGAGGTGTTTTGCGGTTATTATTAATAATTGTATTGAAATTTATCCCCGGAAATGGAACAATCCCCTTCAGTTGTTTCTCCATCTAAAGCGAGAAAGAGGAAAGGTAATCCTACTTCTTCTAAGAGAGCAGTTGCAAAAAAATTAAGGTAAGTAATTTTTCTTTCTTTTGGTCATTTTTTTCTCTACTCATATGTGATACGACTTAGACACTTAAAGTGTAATTAAAAAACTTGACCCTATAGTTCGTTTATTTTACACAAAACACAACCATATTGTACATTATAACTAATACTTCTTGTATATTTTAACACTTTAATTTAACATTTTGGTACAAGAAAAAATCTACAATCACAATATTTAGTACTGACTGTCTACCGTTTATTTCGTCAAAAAAATATAGAAAATTATATACACAATTGAGTGTTAAATACAAAACATTATGACTGTTAAACTATAGGTAATAATCTAGAATAAAATTGAAGAATGATAAACTAAAATCTGTTTTTGTTTCTAGATATTCGGCACCACATGGGCCCATTATAATGTCAGACTGCAATCACGCTAAGAAAAACATATACAAATGTAATGAATTGACCTACGAGAATGTCACAGCATTTCGAGATGCTTTTTTGCAACTGAAAAGAAAAGTGATCAAGATAGCTTCATTATGAAACACAGTAGTAATTCCACGCAGTAGTCGCCAAAAAAGATCAACTGGAGAAAAGAAAAAAATTTCACAGGAAGATTTTTCGTAAGGAAATTGGGTGAAGGTGAAGATGTTCAAGTATGTGAACGGGCTTTTCGACTTATTCTAGGGATTGGTAACTCTAGAATACAGACTATCCTCCACAATTATGCAATCTATGGTAATGTTGCTCAGGAAAGAAGAGGTGGTGACCGCTTTTCTAACAAATTCAATGAGAGAACAAGGTGTTATAAAATACATTAGCTCTTTAAAGTGTTTAGAATCGCATTAGTGTCGTAGCAATACTCGTCGAAGTTACCTTTCCTCTGATTTGAGTATAGAAAAGTTAGCAAATATGTACAACGCTCAAGCCAACGAGAACTTGAAAGTGAAAACTTCGTACTTTCAGAAAAAATAAAGCAAACAACTGATCCTCGGCAAACCGCATCTTTAAAAGCTACCCAAGCTATTCACAAAAAAAGGGCCAAAGCTTTTTTTGCATTACTAAAAGTACAAGAAAATGAAACTCTTACGCTCTCATTCGATTGCCAGAAAAATTTGCCCAGTCCCAAAATTCCAGATCAGGAGACTTACTATCGACGTCAACTTTACCTCTTCAATTTTTCTATTGTTGTTGGTAGTTCTCAGTGCAAAATGTCTCCAAATAATTGCTTTAGATACATATGGACAGAAGAAACTTATCCAAAAGGTTCAAATGAGGTAGCGTCATGTGTATTTCATTGTCTGCAAAACTTAGATACATCACAAATTAAGAAAATAAAACTTTTTGCAGATGGCTGCGGCGGCCAAAACAAAAATAAAACTATGATTGCTATGCTACACAGATGTATTCTATTCGCTCCTGAGAACGTTGAAGAGATACAATTGATATTTCCAGTACGAGGCCATTCTTTTATACCACCAGACCGTTTATTCGGTCTTTGCGAAAAAGAGTTCAACAAAAAAAATTATCGAGACTCCAGATGGCTATGTTAAAATAATTGAAAAGTATGCTACAATAAGACGACTAGGTATTGACGTAGATATTTTTGATTTGAGGCAGTAGATCATTTTAAACCTATTTCTCAATGGCACTTTAAATTTCAGCCTTCAAAAAAGTTCCAATTCAAGCGAGCAGCAAAATCCCAGCACACGATTCTCATCCAAGCAGAACAGTTGTATTACCACTCCATTGGTAATTTCAAATCCATTATGAAAGGGAAAGAAAATGTTTTAAGCATTAATCCTTCAAAACTTGCTAAGGACAATACATTAGTAAACCAGAAAAAATTATCTGATGTCAAAAGGCTTCTTGAATTGCATTTTGGGTCTGATTGGCAATCTAATCCATGCTTAAAGTGTTACGTCAATTTTTTTGCTTCTTGTGAAGGACGTAGTGAAGTTGGTGCAGAAGTGGAAGAAGATTTATGTGGCATAACTGAAGAAGCACCAGAATTATGTGTCTAAAATGTTATTTTTTCAATTTTCATTAAGAATGTAATAAAATCATCATACAATATATTTTTTACTCACTTCTTAAGTAGTTGTTATTACTTTCAAATTAAAGCAAAATGAATAAATTTCATAAACTAAGATACAAAATGCAAAAAATTGAACTTTTGGGAGCAAAACAGATAAAATCCATTTTCAAAATAATAATTGAGACGTTTAGAAATTTTTTGAGAACTCAAGATTTCTGCACAATAATTTACTGAAACATCTAAACATATTTTACATGTTTTCAAAATAAAATATCTTAATATGAAGCGACCACCGTTTTTTGCCCTTTTCTCAAAAGTGACGTCTTTGGTCTTAACGCGTTTTGCTTCTAGGCAATATTGATATAGATATATATTATATAGAGTTTTTTCTATATAGTTAAATGTATTTTATAATTATTTAAAAAATCTGACAACCTAAGTAATATGTGCATATTTTTCATTTTGGAATCCGATTTTGGATTATTGAATTTTATAAAGTTTATGAAAATATTGAATCCCTTAACTAAGTAAATGAAAATATGTATACACCTACTTTAACTATACTATACTACACCTATACTACAATCATTTATTAACAACCATTTACAGTATTTTGTTATACAATATCGATCACTGTCGGTTTAATTAATCTTACCCTTACAATGATATGCAATGATAAAAAAGTCTTTATCATTGCAAAAATTAAAATGTTCAATTATGCATCATATATTATTTTCTTGCACGTTTATAAACATTAAACACCATAATGATCATATTCTTCCATTTTATTAAATCTTTTATTAATGTATCCTTGTCCCAAACCTACACTAAACAACAATATTTAGGTTATATATTTGATTTCGTGGTAATCTACAACATAATAATGAACTACAATAAACACAATTTATATTCCATATTACTTTTTTAATCAGTACTTTATTTGGCAAATAAATATTTTATATTTTATTTGTCAGATAATTTTAATTTATTTTATCTGTCATTTTATCAATGTCAGTAACGTAGATGTTTTTTTTTGTATTATTAATTAAACATATCGTTTTAAAAACAAAATATGATTGACTCATAGGTTGAAATCATGAAATCATAGGTCAGTAGTTTATTTGTTCAGATGGCGTTTTAATTTTAAATCTAAACTAATATAAAGCTTTAAATTATTTTTACTTTAAATTCTAGCTTAAAAATATTATTAAAATAAATTATTAATTATAATAATATGTAATTGATACAGTATTCTTAATTAAACGTATCGTTTCAAGAACAAAATATGATTAACTTGTCAAATGGTGGTAATTCAGATTTCTATCCTAGATGGCATCGTTAGTTTACTGGATAAACGGTATCACTTATCATCATAGCCATTTATATAGATATATACATTTACAATACACGCTACATAAACATATAATAGGTATATAAAGATATAATACATAAACACCTAATACATAGACACACACAGAATTTGATATTATCCTGAGGTTATTAGCATCACCCTCAGAATTGTCAACTAAAAACATAAAGTGGCATGGATGTGTGCCTAGAAGTCCGAGGCCAAGTAAGTTAACCAACAATTTTAAAATCCACAACTGCCAAACAACTTCTTAATAATATCAGCTAACTATTTTAAAATTATCTTTTTTGAAAACGTAGCTACATTTAGAAATTCTCCATTTAATTTTGAAATACAGCGATTTAGCGTACGAGTATATTTTATTGATTTTATTAGCACAATATTTTAAATACGTACAAAGACAAAACAATTTGTCGTTGATTTTTGTTTTTACAAACAACATGATACAACTGACGATGCATAAAATTTAAAATACACATTTTCCGTTTTATAAAATTTTTAAATTTCCAATTTTATTTTTCAGCTGAAAGCGTTCTATGTAGATTTATTGGTGCCGTTGGAAACTAACTTGGAAAAGGATACAAAAGTGGTTCAAGTAAGTTAATTTTTCTTATAGTTGAAAAGATGCCAAACTGTTTTGCATTGTGTAAATTATGTATTCGGTTTCTAATTTATATAACAGTCTGTTTTTTATTTGTTAGAAAATGTGAAAAGTCAAGAAAATACAATATCAACCAACATACAAAGTGCTTTTTAAAATTTAAGATTGATAATTTAAGTACGTGTTCAACTTATATTAAAGATCAATACCACTTCTTATTCTTCTTCCTACTTTATAAATAGGCTTATTGCCTGTTTTACCATCTTTTCCTCGGTCGTCCCAATGATCTTCTTCCATTTGGCGATTTGTCTCTTGCTATTCGTACTATTCTATTTTCTGTTATTCTTTCGATGTGTTGATTCTATTTCACTTTTCTTCTTTTGGTCCACGTGTTTATTTCCTCTATACCATATCTCGCTCGTATTTCCTCACTTCTTACTCTATCTCTTAGAGTTTGGTTTCTTATTTTTCGTAAGACTTTCATTTCTGTTGTTTCCAGTAGTCTTTGTGTTTTCGCCGTATCTGCTCTTGTTTCCGCTGTGTACGTCATTATCGGTCTTATCGTTGATGTATATATCCTGGTTTTCGTATTTGTTTCTCCAGATTATGTTGTTGAGATATCCTGCTACTCTGTTAGCCATGTTTACTTGTTTTTGTACTTCTTCTTCCACTTTTCCGTAGCTTGACAGTTTGATTCCCAAGTATTCAGTTTCCATCACTTGTTCTATTATTTTGTTATTTACGACTAGTTTACATCGTCTCGGTTCCGCTGATATCACCATCGTTTTAGTTTTCTCTGTTGAGATCACCATATTGTATATGAGCGCCGTATCTTTGAATTCTTTAATTAATCTTTGTAGGTCATATTCATTTTCGGCTGTTATTATGGCGTCGTCGGCGTAGCATATTATCCTTATTTCCTTTTCTCCCACTCTATATCCTTGTCTTTTTTTAACTTTCTTTGTGATTTTATCCATTATCAGAATTAAATATTATTGGGCTCGGTGAATCTCCTTGTCTAATGCCAGTTTCATATTTGATAGGTCGCGATAGTTTTCCTTTACATCTTACCATAGCTATAATATCTTTATGTATATATATATATATATATATATATATATATATATATATATATATATATATATATATATTTATATATTCTCAATGGTTTTTACTAAATCCAGATTGCGTCCCGAATTCTCACTCTATCAAACGCTTTCTTCAAATCTATCAGACACATATATGCTGGCTTGTTGTATTTCAGCTACTTTTCTTTTATTTGTCTTATTACAAAAACTGCATCCGTGCATGATCTTCCTGTCCGAAATCCTCGCTGTTCCTCTTGCAGAGATATTCGTTTGTTTATTTTTGTCGCTATTATTCTTGTTGTCAATTTGAGTGTTGTATTTAAAAGATGTATTCCTCGATAATTATTGGGGTCTTTCTTATCTCCTTTTTTGAAGAACATCACCATGATCGCTCACCTCCATTCATCTGGTATTCTGTTCGTGGTGATTATTTTATTAATAAGAAGTTGCAGTTGTTGTACAAGGTAATCATCTCCATATTTTAAGAGTTCATTTGGTACCTATTTGATCTTCCCCTGGTGACTTTCTGTTTTTTTATTTATTTATTCTTTCTTTCACATCGTTTTGGGAGATTTCGGTCTTTTCCCCAGTTATTATATTTGGCGTTTCTGGTAAAGGTTCTTTGTTATGTTTTTTAAACATTTCTGTCAGGAAAGCCACCCATGTATTCTCTTGTATGTGTTCTATTTCAACTAGTTCTTTCTTTTCGCTTCTTTGTTGTCTTATGAAGCGCCATATTTGTTTCTGTTGTCCATAGAAATCCATCTCTAGTCCTTTTGTGAATCTTTCTCAGTAATCTGTTTTTGTTTTTTTTTTACCTTTTAATGAGTTTAAGTTCTTATTCTTTTATATTCTTCATATGATTCATTCGTTTTTTCTGACTTATTTTTTAGGAAAGCTTTCTTTTTTGGCGACATTTTTGTTTAGAATAAGAAAATGAAGATAGATATTATCAAAAAGTGGTATTTTATAAACAAATACCACTTTATGATAATATCTATCTTCTTCTTCACGTGCCTTCTCCACCACGGAGGTTGGCAATCGTCATTGCTATCCTTACCTTTGAGAGCGCTGCATGGAACAATTGTATTAAATTGTATTCTAATCATTATCTACTCTACACCTGTAAAAATACCACTGTAAAAAATTCTAAAATTCAGCCTCTGAACACGAACAGAAAAAAAAGAAAACGGCCCAGCAAACTAACAAGGACTTTCAATATAAATACATGGAATATCGAAGGGTGGTCAACCAAGTCAGACAAAGTCATAGCAAAAGTAAGAAAACAAAAATCAGATATCACAGTTTTTACCGAAACAAAGAAAAAAAGCTAAGGTAGCGTAGGCATAGAAGGTTTTATACCTATTCATAGAGGAGTAAAGAAAGACAAGAGGGCACATGCAGAGATATCAATATTGATAAAAAGACTTAAGAGGAAAATTTAGAAGCTAAAAGCTAGCATTAAGAGCATTATTAGGTTATAAATTACGTGGTAAAAGCACAATATCAAAATCTTTGGAATACATGCACCATCAGAAAGTGAATCAAAAACAGATAAACAGAAAATATTGTTCAAAACCTTATTAGAGCTTATTGAAAGTTTCAATAGCAGCAAAGAAATTATACTGTTGGAATATTTTAATGATTGAACAAGACAAAAAACAAATGAAAAAGTGGTAGATAAATACGGAGAAGCAAAAATTAATGAAAATGGGGAACAGTTAATCGAATTCTGTGAACAACTCTCTCTGAAAATTCTAAACGGATTCTAACAACATAAAAACATACAAAAGTATACCTAGGTCCAATCAACGAGAAACACCAAATCAATTATAGATTATGTTCTCACAAAACAAGAAAAACATACAAATAAAAACCGTAAGAGTATTAAGAGGACAGGAGTGCGGACCTGATCACTATATTGTAAGATCAAAATATTACCTTCAGTATCGATTAAGATCAATACACCTAAATGACTACCAACCAGCACAATTAAAATCACTAAAAACGATTCCATCCAAATACAATATTAATGCACTGCAAAATACGGATGGGAAAAATCTACCAGTTTTTTTACTTCGGTATAACCGGTTTTATCGGTTGTTTTTTTTTTTGTCCTGGTTATAACCGGTTTCTTATTTTTAAAGTAAAAATCGCTTATTAGGTTTTTACGGTGATTAGGATTAGGTTAGGTATTATATTGGATCCCAATCATAATTATTATTCTTAAGTAATTATTCCAAACAAAACCATAATTCAAATTTTATTTTATTTTATAAATACGGAAGCAAACTGAAAGTGCAAACTCACATTAGCCAGAAACAATTAAGTTTTATTATATTATTTCGTTGAAAAGGTATTTGTAATCATAGTATTTACGAGTATTATCGAGTCGAATGAAGTATCGCAAACTAAAGTGCATTGGATTAAAATGTGGTGTTATTGGATTAAAAAAACTGAAAACCGATTTTTTTTGGCCGGTTATAAAACCGTAATAAAAAAAACCGGTATAACCGAAAACCCTTGTTTTGTCAAAAACCGCCATCACTACTGCAAAACGACTCAATATCATTTTTATACAAGTTACGGCTTAGCCAAAAATTAACACACTTGATCCAATCCTCAGCCTAGAATACCAACCAAAAGATGATCAATAAAATCAATTAAGCAGCTGATGAAGCACTTACAACGATCCAAAGGAACAAAAAAGGTACTCCATTAAAGTGGACAAATGACGTCACTAATGCAGTACATAACAAGAAACAAGCATATCAAAAGTGGCTGTAAACAAATGTCCCAGATAATAGACGAACATAAGCAAGATCGAAAAGAAAAGTAAAAAATCTAGTAACTAACGCAGAAATGTTTTCTGGGAAAGTAAATGAGAAGAACTTAACAAATATATCAACAGCAACAACCACAGGCTCAACAAGATCAAGAAAAGCATGGGAAAAGGTAAACAACCTGAGAACAAACAGAAAAGAAGTCACTTGAATAGATTTAATAGAAGAAAGATCTTGGATCTTCTGACTGAAACAAGATCGTAATTCAAGAGCACCATCAGAACAGCGTAGGAAATTTAATACGATAAGGATGATAAAATAACAGTACAGGAAGTGGAAGATGCAATATAAAATCTAAAAAATCAAAAAGCATCTGGACCACAAGGTATACCGAACGAATTACTAAAACGCAACCCAAAAGTATTACAGGAATTACTGGTGTATGTTTTCACCTTATTCTGTGACCGAATATGATTTAAGACTGAGTGAATAAAAGCACATATTAATACTGTCTACAAAAAAGGAGATAGAAAGCATTGTTCAAACTGCAATGGGCCAAGTGTCACAAATTCACTCTTAGGACTCTATGGAAAAATAATAAAAGTTCAAATTTAAAGCCCTTTAACTTTATAACTCGTGTAGTCTTTATAGATCTGACAAAGGCATACGATAGTGTACCACTTTCAATGCTCTGAGTAGCAGTGGAAAAACAAGGAATAAACAAAAATATATAAAAGCTGTACAAGAGCTTTGCAAAAATATGAGGGCAAACATTAAAACTGAAAACAACTTCACTATAGGAATTCCTATTAGTGAAGGTCTAATGCGAGGCTGCTGCATAACATCTGCACTCTTTAAAATATATCTGAATGAGGTGCTCTCAGTGTGGAAAAGAAAATGCTGCAATATGGGCATCCTAATCGAAGACGAGAGATTGTATACGATACACTTTGCTGTGGACAAAGCGATTCTAGCTGACCAAACCAAGACGAGAGTAGTGTAGGCTATATGCTTAGAAAACTAGAAGAAAAGTATACCAAGTGAGTTTTTACAATTAATATACAAAAACCGAGTGCTTAGCTGCAAGAGAAAAACAGAAAGCCTACAAATTGAAATGGGAACT